CGGATTCAGCCTTAGGCTATTCCCTAGGGATGAATAAGTCTAACAAACACCGATTCGGGCGGAAAATTTGCGGGGCCATTTTTGGCAGATCCCAAAGGGGTACCATCACCGATTTCGGGCGATTTCTGGAATGGCCATTTTCCTTGGATTTTGAAGGCGAGGGATCACAGATTCGGCCCTAGGGCACTCTCCACCAATGATGAAGTCTAGTAATTGCCGATTTGCGCGGAAATTTGGTCGAATTTTTACGGATGGCATTTTCGTAATTTTTAGGCGATTTTTTCGAACGGCCATTTTCCATAGATTTTGAAGGCCGCAGATCACGGATTCAGCCTTAGGGTATTCCCTAGGGATGAATAAGTCTAACAAACACCGATTCGGGCGGAAAATTTGCGGGGCCATTTTTGGCAGATCCCAAAGGGGTACCATCACCGATTTCGGGCGATTTCTGGAATGGCCATTTTCCTTGGATTTTGAAGGCGAGGGATCACAGATTCGGCCCTAGGGCACTCTCCACCAATGATGAAGTCTAGTAATGGCCGATTTGCGCGGAAATTTGGTCGAATTTTTACGGATGGCATTTTCGTAATTTTTAGGCGATTTTTTCGAACGGCCATTTTCCATAGATTTTGAAGGCCGCAGATCACGGATTCAGCCTTAGGGTATTCCCTAGGGATGAATAAGTCTAACAAACACCGATTCGGGCGGAAAATTTGCGGGGCCATTTTTGGCAGATCCCAAAGGGGTACCATCACCGATTTCGGGCGATTTCTGGAATGGCCATTTTCCTTGGATTTTGAAGGCGAGGGATCACAGATTCGGCCCTAGGGCACTCTCCACCAATGATGAAGTCTAGTAATGGCCGATTTGCGCGGAAATTTGGTCGAATTTTTACGGATGGCATTTTCGTAATTTTTAGGCGATTTTTTCGAACGGCCATTTTCCATAGATTTTGAAGGCCGCAGATCACGGATTCAGCCTTAGGGTATTCCCTAGGGATGAATAAGTCTAACAAACACCGATTCGGGGGGAAAATTTGCGGGGCCATTTTTGGCAGATCCCAAAGGGGTACCATCACCGATTTCGGGCGATTTCTGGAATGGCCATTTTCCTTGGATTTTGAAGGCGAGGGATCACAGATTCGGCCCTAGGGCACTCTCCACCAATGATGAAGTCTAGTAATGGCCGATTTGCGCGGAAATTTGGTCGAATTTTTACGGATGGCATTTTCGTAATTTTTAGGCGATTTTTTCGAACGGCCATTTTCCATAGATTTTGAAGGCCGCAGATCACGGATTCAGCCTTAGGGTATTCCCTAGGGATGAATAAGTCTAACAAACACCGATTCGGGCGGAAAATTTGCGGGGCCATTTTTGGCAGATCCCAAAGGGGTACCATCACCGATTTCGGGCGATTTCTGGAATGGCCATTTTCCTTGGATTTTGAAGGCGAGGGATCACAGATTCGGCCCTAGGGCACTCTCCACCAATGATGAAGTCTAGTAATGGCCGATTTGCGCGGAAATTTGGTCGAATTTTTACGGATGGCATTTTCGTAATTTTTAGGCGATTTTTTCGAACGGCCATTTTCCATAGATTTTGAATGCCGCAGATCACGGATTCAGCCTTAGGGTATTCCCTAGGGATGAATAAGTCTAACAAACACCGATTCGGGCGGAAAATTTGCGGGGCCATTTTTGGCAGATCCCAAAGGGGTACCATCACCGATTTCGGGCGATTTCTGGAATGGCCATTTTCCTTGGATTTTGAAGGCGAGGGATCACAGATTCGGCCCTAGGGCACTCTCCACCAATGATGAAGTCTAGTAATGGCCGATTTGCGCGGAAATTTGGTCGAATTTTTACGGATGGCATTTTCGTAATTTTTAGGCGATTTTTTCGAACGGCCATTTTCCATAGATTTTGAAGGCCGCAGATCACGGATTCAGCCTTAGGCTATTCCCTAGGGATGAATAAGTCTAACAAACACCGATTCGGGCGGAAAATTTGCGGGGCCATTTTTGGCAGATCCCAAAGGGGTACCATCACCGATTTCGGGCGATTTCTGGAATGGCCATTTTCCTTGGATTTTGAAGGCGAGGGATCACAGATTCGGCCCTAGGGCACTCTCCACCAATGATGAAGTCTAGTAATGGCCGATTTGCGCGGAAATTTGGTCGAATTTTTACGGATGGCATTTTCGTAATTTTTAGGCGATTTTTTCGAACGGCCATTTTCCATAGATTTTGAAGGCCGCAGATCACGGATTCAGCCTTAGGGTATTCCCTAGGGATGAATAAGTCTAACAAACACCGATTCGGGCGGAAAATTTGCGGGGCCATTTTTGGCAGATCCCAAAGGGGTACCATCACCGATTTCGGGCGATTTCTGGAATGGCCATTTTCCTTGGATTTTGAAGGCGAGGGATCACAGATTCGGCCCTAGGGCACTCTCCACCAATGATGAAGTCTAGTAATGGCCGATTTGCGCGGAAATTTGGTCGAATTTTTACGGATGGCATTTTCATAATTTTTAGGCGATTTTTTCGAACGGCCATTTTCCATAGATTTTGAAGGCCGCAGATCACGGATTCAGCCTTAGGGTATTCCCTAGGGATGAATAAGTCTAACAAACACCGATTCGGGGGGAAAATTTGCGGGGCCATTTTTGGCAGATCCCAAAGGGGTACCATCACCGATTTCGGGCGATTTCTGGAATGGCCATTTTCCTTGGATTTTGAAGGCGAGGGATCACAGATTCGGCCCTAGGGCACTCTCCACCAATGATGAAGTCTAGTAATGGCCGATTTGCGCGGAAATTTGGTCGAATTTTTACGGATGGCATTTTCGTAATTTTTAGGCGATTTTTTCGAACGGCCATTTTCCATAGATTTTGAAGGCCGCAGATCACGGATTCAGCCTTAGGGTATTCCCTAGGGATGAATAAGTCTAACAAACACCGATTCGGGCGGAAAATTTGCGGAGCCATTTTTGGCAGATCCCAAAGGGGTACCATCACCGATTTCGGGCGATTTCTGGAATGGCCATTTTCCTTGGATTTTGAAGGCGAGGGATCACAGATTCGGCCCTAGGGCACTCTCCACCAATGATGAAGTCTAGTAATGGCCGATTTGCGCGGAAATTTGGTCGAATTTTTACGGATGGCATTTTCGTAATTTTTAGGCGATTTTTTCGAACGGCCATTTTCCATAGATTTTGAAGGCCGCAGATCACGGATTCAGCCTTAGGGTATTACCTAGGGATGAATAAGTCTAACAAACACCGATTCGGGCGGAAAATTTGCGGGGCCATTTTTGGCAGATCCCAAAGGGGTACCATCACCGATTTCGGGCGATTTCTGGAATGGCCATTTTCCTTGGATTTTGAAGGCGAGGGATCACAGATTCGGCCCTAGGGCACTCTCCACCAATGATGAAGTCTAGTAATGGCCGATTTGCGCGGAAATTTGGTCGAATTTTTACGGATGGCATTTTCATTATTTTTAGGCGATTTTTTCGAAAGGCCATTTTCCATAGATTTTGAAGGCTGCAGATCACGGATTCAGCCTTAGGCTATTACCTAGGGATGAATAAGTCCAACAAACACCGATTCGGGCTGAAAATTTCCGGGGCTATTTTTGGCAGACCCAAAGGGGTACCATCACCGATTTCGGGCGATTTCTGGAATGGCCTTTTTCCTTGGATTTTGAAGGCGAAGGATCATAGATTCGGCCCTAGGGCACTCTCCACTAATGATGAAGTCTACTAATGGCCGATTTGCGCGGAAATTTTGTTGAATTTTTATGGATGGCATTTTCGTAATTTTTAGGCGATTTTTTCGGAAGCCCATTTTCCATAGATTTTGAAGGCTTCTGTTCACGGATTCAACCTTAGGCTATTCCCTAGGGATGAATAAGTCTAACAAACACCATTCGGGCGGAAAATCTCCGGGGCCATTTTTGGCAGATCCCAAAGGGGTTCCATCACCGATTTCGGGCGATTTCTAGAGTGGCCATTTTCCTTGGATTTTGAAGGCGACGGATCACAGATTCAGCCCTCTGGTACTCTCCACCAATGATGAAGTCTACGGGTGCTCGAGTACATTTTTACTAGACTTAGCTTTGCTATAGCTAAGAGAGTGGGGGTTCATATTGAATCCGTTTTTTGGTTTGGTACTTCTTTGCGTTGGAAGAATTATGAAATGTTACTATATTAGTGAACCAACTGCCTTGTAGGCTAGATTTTGGTCCTGTTTTCTCTACGCTGTGACCCGAATGGATTCTCGTATCATGGCATTAGGACATAACCGAATTCATCAGGGGTCGTTTGGATGGATCAATCTAGAAATGAGTCAAATTGGTCAATTGTCTCGTTTTATAAACGAGGCAATTAAAATGAGTCAATTTGATCAATTGTCTCGTTTTAAAAATTACCTGCCCCCACCCCAAGTAATTGAAATTGACTCAAAACGGACAATTCAAAATACCTCAGGCAGATTGATCCATCCAAATTTTTTGCTGGCAAACGAGACAATTGTGTCAAATTGATCCGTTACAATTCCTCATCCAAACGACCCCTCAATCTATACGTACACAGACCATCTCGATGATGTACTCAACAATACCAAACATTTCGATGAACAACATATAGCAAACTAACAATTTAACATTCCCTAAAAGAACTCTAGAAGTAAATATTTTTTTGTCATTAGATCACTCTTGAAAAGAGGAACATATAAAGATCCGTAGGCTTACAACATAACTTGCCTACCACTAAACAAAAGAACAAAGCCGAATCTCAAAATCGTTCGAGGCGACAAAAACAGAGCACGAGTGGCCACCAAATCCAAGCCGGTATTTGAAAGTATATCAAACTTAGGGACTGGTATGAAATTCGGAAGCCTGAACTGGGCCTGGGCAGGGCCATGGCGCAGCCCACAACAGAGCAAATTGTACACCGTAAATTCTCATCGTCCTTAATTGTTATCGTTAAATTCGGCTGTGACCACCTCTTCCATCCTTCCAAACTAGAAAAACAGCAACAAGAAAATTTTCTCTCCCTCCCTCCCTCCCTCCATCCCTCTCTTTCTCGGTGCGGCTATCGGAACCCTAACTCCCAGGGAATTTTCTCCAACGATGAAGCGGCAATCGCAGCGGGAGTCGGACGACGGCGCTTCGGCTCCGTCGAACAACCTCTGGGTGGGGAACCTGGCGCAGGACGTGACGGACTCGGATCTCATGGCGCTCTTCGCCAAGTACGGCGCCCTCGACAGCGTCACTTCATACTCGTCCAGGAGCTACGCCTTCGTCTTCTTCAAGCGCGTCGAGGACGCCAAAGCCGCCAAGGAGGCCCTCCAAGGCGCGGCGATCCACGGATCGCCGCTGAAGATTGAGTTTGCCAGACCGGTTCGTAGCTCTCTTTTCGTCTTATCTTCTTCTCCTCTGGCTCCCTCATCGTTAGGTTTTAAGATCGGAACTCTGCTTTTTTCAATTGTTTCCCGATTCCGTGGCGTCTGTAATTGTTGTAGTATTAGCTGTTTATGTTCAGGAATGGTTAAAGCTTTGATTCAATTTCAACATATCCAATTTGCAAGAATTCCTGTGTGGTTTATGCAATCCGTGGTAATCCGAATCTGCCCAATTTAGATCGAATTCCGAATCCGACGATTCGCCGCTGCAGAATCCGTCTATCCGAACGGCCGCACGATCAATTCAATTATGCCAGACGGCCACTGGCCATTCATTCAACACGATCGTGAATAATCCATCCTCTTTTCGAACCGAACGTGAAAATCAATCGAAAAGCCATGGCCAATCAATCGCTTCCTTTTCTTCGCAAAAGAAGAGTGTGCAATTCTATAGCTGATTGCTTCTGCCCTAAACCCAGATTAACGCAGGCATTGCGCGATTAGCCCGAAAAATCAAGGTTGCTTATATCTAGTCATCGCTGTGCTGCGATCTCCAGCTTAGCTCGTACGTGTTCATGCAAATCTCTCCATTTCATCTTCAGTCTATTGCGATATTGCTTGCCTAATTGAAAGGAATCCCATAGATGGAAGAACTTGCCTTACAACGCCTCACTGGCACGATATTCCATCGATTACTTAAAGCGATGATGTTTCTGCCGTTGCCTCTATGGAGATCAAATCATGGCAATGTTGAATCTCCAAGAGCTGTTTCTGCCATATCTTTGAGTTACTGATTGACGGCAGTTGTTACATGGCATTCGTGGCTAGTATTTCCTTCAAAAGGACACATTAGAACAGATCGATGCACCTGATGAAAAACAAGTAGGGTTGCCCTTAGTAACTAAATCTTAAACCATTAAGAAACCTTGGTTGTTTCTGGGTATTATTCATTCAAGTGATTGTTAGTACTGATCGGTTCTTCCTCGTGTGGGATAGCAATGCTGTCCAATTATTCCTTCAGTATATACAATCGAACGATCAAAGCACTTCATTTGCAATGTTGGAATCCTTTCCTATCAGTTATACTTAATCGAGTTTATTGGTTCCAGGCCAAGCCTTCCAAGTCGTTATGGGTCGGGGGAATCAGCCCCACATTATCCAAGCTGCAGTTGGAGGAAGAGTTCCAGAGCTTTGGTAAACTCGAAGATTTCAAGTTTCTCAGAGATCGGAACACTGCATTTGTTGAATTTTGTAAGCTGGAAGACGCTGTAGTAGCCATGAAAAGCATTAACGGGAAGCGAATTGCTGGCGAACAGATTCGCGTGGATTTCCTTCGGTCTCAACCTTCGAGAAGAGTAAGTCTATGCATCCCAATCTCCCTAAGTATGCTCTAACAAGTTTAAATGTAACTATTATTTATAGTTAGATACTGACACCAGATTTCTAGCTTTTACTTGGATGTGTTGTGGATTGATATCATATTCATATCCCTCCTACCTGTTTCCTCAATTCGGTTACTGTGTTCATAACTTCATATGATAAGCTTTCTATCTAGCTAGTGAAGTCAGCTAACTCTCTCTGTTTCACAGGAATACGCCCACGACTATCGCGATTCAAGAGAGAATCAGTACTCTGTCGCACAACCCGGACTAAGGCGATCTCAGGTGACTCTGCTGCTGCCCGATCTAATATAACTGAAAATTCATGCCCTTGCTCATTTCCTTTCAACTGTTGTGTTTAGAGTTTGCTTGTGGACTCTTCTGTTTTACCAGAAATGATAGTCTGGCACTTAAAAGATGCTTCTGTTGACTTTTCTGTCTTTCTATTTTGCAGCAACCCATGTCCTCTGGTGGGCGAAGAGAAGGTCAACCTAGTAAAGTTTTGTGGGTAGGTTATCCCCCTGCCCTGCAGATCGACGAACAAATGCTCCACAATGCCATGATTTTATTTGGTGAGATTGAGAGAATCAAGAGTTTCCCTTCAAGGCACTACTCATTTGTGGAATTCAGGAGTGTTGATGAAGCTCGTAGGGCCAAAGAAGGTTTGCAAGGGCGCCTATTTAACGATCCTCGTATAACGATCATGTTTTCAAGCAGTGGGTCGGCTCCAGGGAAAGAGTATTCTAATTACTACCCCGGAATAAAAGGAAGGTCAGATGAGTTTGGAACTGGGCAATTGGAGATGCTTGATTATCAGCAGCAGTCAATAGGTGGACCTGGGGGAAACTTTTTGCAGCCTCCTTTTGGCCCTCAAGGTGGTGGTTTGGATCATTTAAACTCGAATGCCCAGTTGGCTCCAACTTGGAGAAGGCCCTCTCCACCGTCAGCTGGCATCCTTCCTTCTCCCGGGTCTAGGATCAGGCCACCGATGAAGTCTGGTACTAGTGGGTGGGATGTGCTTGATACAAATCAGTATCAGAGGGAACCGAAAAGATCGAGGATTGGAACTCCAGATGATGATTCTTTCCCACTAAGAAATAACGTTGATAATCGTGGTTTAGGATTAAGCAGGTCACATGCACTTGGTCCTCTAAGTGATAAAATCGCCTTGAATCGCTTTGGAAATGCGCCAGGAAACAACGGTGCAAGGGGTGAAGCAGATTTTATTTGGCGTGGTGTCATTGCCAAGGGCGGGACGCCTGTCTGTCAAGCTCGTTGTGTCCCTATTGGGGACCTTATGGAATCTGATTTGTGAGTATTGAGTTCTCCCTTGATATCTTTTAGCCAATTTTAGTGAGGTTACATATGGAAGTTATCTAGAAAAACTGGAATTGTGATTGGAAACGGGAAACCTTAGTAACCAGATAGATGTAAGAGTTTACACTTGAGACTGCATGTGAACCGGTGTGGGATGGTTGCTTTTGTGTGTGTGTTATTGTGTTTTGCTTTTATTCATTCTCTTTCTTAATCCTTGGTTGTCTTTGTCTATGCTCTCATCCTGTCCAAATCCATTGATGTGCTGAGTTATGATCCAATTTCTGATTGAGTTTGTTCTACTTCAGTCATTCACCAACATCAAGTCACAAATACTCCGAACTAAGTACACCCATAATACATTTAGAACAACCAAAATCGTTTATTATCCTAATTTTGGACTTTTCTATTTTGCAGTCCTGAAGTTGTCAATTGCTCAGCCAGAACAGGACTGGACATGCTGGCAAAACACTATGCTGAAGCTATAGGATTCAACATTGTCTACTTCTTACCAGACAGCGAAGACGATTTCGCTTCCTACACCGAATTCCTCCGCTACTTGGGCTCCAAAAACCGTGCTGGCGTTGCCAAGTTTGACGACGGCACCACACTTTTCCTGGTCCCACCATCAGATTTCTTGACGGATGTCTTGAAAGTCCTGGGACCTGAACGTCTCTATGGGGTAGTTCTGAAGCTGCCGCCACAACAGCAGTTGCCCAGCAGCAATGTACAACTGCAACATCACCCAATGCAGCACCTCTCTCATGATTTTGCTAGGGATCATCAGCTTCCTCCTGAAGTTGACTACAATGCTCACAATCATCATCCGAACGAGGAACAACATGGGTTGCCACTAGATTATAACGGGTTGATGCATGGTGAATCATCAAAGCTTCCTTCAAAACAGTTTTATTCAGCGGTTGCTGAATCCCCGTCAGCAGCGTCAGTTTCACGAGACTATCCGGCTACCAACAATGCAGCTTCAGTATCAACAACTGGAGTTTCCTTGACACCAGAGCTGATAGCCTCTCTTACATCCCTACTGCCTGCAAAAGCCCAAGTGCCTGGGCCTGAAAGTAGTCAGCCAGCACAGGGTGTGTCTACTGCGAGGCATTTTTCTTCAGCTGGGACTCCCCCACAGGGATGGAAGCCTGACTATTATGGTGGAAACCCTAATAATAACAATAATCTTCAACAACTTGGGGCTCAACCCAATTCTCAGTCACAGTTTCACTCGCAGTATCAGCCATATCCTCAGGCCAACCAGCAGATGACAGCTCAATCCAATGCAAACTTATCACATCAGGTGGCAGCTCAATCTAGGCCAATGAACAATTTTCCTTTGGTGTCTCAGAGTGGACAGATGGTTTACCCTCCCCAGGTCAACCAGCAGCAATATCATCAGCTTGATCCCTATGGAACTCAAAAGAATTATGGAATAGCCCATGGGCCATCCGATGCTCCTGTTCCATACAGCCCATCTGTTGTTCAGCAGCCTCATAACCCTGTTCCAATGCCGCCTAGTCATGCTCCTGTTGCTAATTATTTACCAACGCAGTCTGGGATTCCACAGTCAGGCGTGGATCACCAGGGTCAGGCGGCGCAGCTGGAAGCCCAGCAGTCTGGAGCTGGTGTTCAAACCACGTCGGAGACTGAAGTTGATAAGAACCAGAGGTACCAGTCGACATTGCAGTTTGCTGCTAACCTTCTCCTTCAAATACAGCAACAGCAGCAAACAAATGCTTCAGCTGCTCCTGGATCAGGAAACCAGCAATGACAGCTCTTTCTTCATCTTGGTAATGTTCTACTTTGTTACATTTCTGCTTGTTTTTCTGAAGTTACCAGCTCGTTGTCTCTCCTGGGTGTGCTGCTGTTATTTTTCTCTGATGATGGCCATTTTTTTTTTTTTTGTTATTTTCCTTGTAGTTCTCTTAGATCTGTCTTGGGTAAGACCTTAATCAGATTAAGTTAAATCTGGCTAGCGTTCTTGTGTTTTTCTTAAGGTAGTCACATAAGAATTTGAGAATACTATCTTTTGCACATTAGGACGATTAGAATTGGTCTCTGCACAAGAACTTGAACTGTATTAATACTTTAGGTAAAGAACTATAATACTATCGAAGCATGGTAGGATAAGTTTAACTTGTCTGCTTGATATGGCATCCAACTTCTAGGGATTGATGTTTAACTTGTCTGCATAAACTTGATGTGCATGAACACTGATATGATTCCTTATATCTGTTTTCTTTCGCTTCCTTCATCTATTTGTTATGCATGTGAGTTTTAGCCTTCACTCCTGAGATGCATACTGTCCCACTCAAATCATGTTTGCGTTTGCATTTCTTTGGTCCAAGTGTCATCCATTTTTCTGCGTTTGTGGTTTTGCTGGAGCTACAGTTCGTAGATAGGTCAGTGCTCATCATATATATGGAGTTTAGGTGGTTAAGCCTCCCTTTAACTGTAAGCACCAGATGTAGTTGTACTTATTGCTAGAGCTTGTTTTATGAAGAATTAAACATGTATTTGGTGAACATAAAATAGCAATTAGATGGCTCATCACTCTGTGGTGGTTTTCTTGCCTCTACAAACTCGGTATTGCTACTGAAAGCTGCCCCTTTGAATGGAATATCCCAATAGTACAAAACCAGCAGGAGTGTATTGGACGATCAGAAAATCGGACCATTTCGAGTGTTCGTTGTGTATTCTTTCGGTTTACTAGTCACTGAACTTAGGCATCTGCCTGTGCTTTTCGTCTTCTCATATCCGAATCCTGTTAAGTGACTTCTGGTCATTGATTCTGTGCTGAATCACCTTTCTACCACCCTCACCAGTAACATGAGTGAGCTTTGGGTGCATTGATGCCAATATCGCAAGGTGCAGAATGCCCACAATAATAAATAACGTAATTAGTTGAGAGCATTGATTCCAAATTGCGTTTAGCTCTCCATATCTCTTGCAGCAGAATTTCCCAGTCCGTCAAGCAACCAGCCGGGAGTGAAAACTTCTCCAGTAAACCGGGTTTTACGGACTAGGCTACCGGTTTACCATTCTGCACTCTATTTCAGTCTCGTGTATCTCCATTGCCATTTCCTTATTGCCATGGCCGCCTCCAGTTAGATTGTGAATGCCTGCAACGATCCGCTTACATTCATTTCGTATCTCTAATCGCGTAGTCGAGGGTTTAGCTTGAGGACCCGTCTACCGAGTTGTTGAAATGAAAGGGGAATCGTGCTTGTGCAGACGCTGATGTATTCTCTTTCCGTTCATGGCTTTGTGGTTTGTAGGGCGTTCTTGCAGAGCTGCGAAGAGAAATTTTACCGCGTCTTCGAGACGGTTTTATGCCTCCTGATTTGGCCTTGCCATCTCTCTCCTGGGGAATTTCAATCCCTTCCAGCGAGCAAATTTTTTCAATGTACAGTTACTAGCAGTAGCAGCAGCCAGCAGAGAGCTTTCTGGCGTTGTTGTTCCGCTTGCACTCCTTTCGGTCTTACCTTGTGGCATCCTAGTTCTTTCGACAACCTTAAAACTTTAGCATACAGGCCCAAGTTAGTATGTAGAGTTAAGCTCATAATAATTTTGTCTTGCATAATTTCTGTATGGTAGATTGTATGTTTAGTAGTGTACTACTGTAACATTTCCTTTCATTGATTCCCAACAAATTTACACATAATTTACTTGATTCACATTAGTAGCTGCTTTATTTGTATCCATTAATACAAGGTTATTGGACATGCCTTGTTAAATACAAATCTTACTGTTTTGGATAAAGAGGTAAGAGGTTATCGGACATGCCTTGTTAAATACTTGGACAGAGTTCGTGGAATCATCATGTAACGAACGATGTCATAATGAAGGGTTCCCATCAGAATGGGCCGCAATGTTTTATTTGTGGACTCGAAAATTATAATGAGCAGTTGTGATTATGAAGGCCCATGAACCTTTGTCAATAGGCCCATTTAACATAGCACATGCCAAATACCCAACAACCCAACCCAATTTGCTTCTCATTTTTCTGTCAGACCGTCCGGTAATTCCCTCCTCCAAAACAGCGCCGTTTCATCATTTTCTGTCTAATCAGCCGTCTGCTGCCTGCCCGCACCCGCACCCTTTCCCTATACTCTCCGACCGACGCCGAACAGCGAACATCTCCCCTCAGTCAACTCCTCTAGAGCTGCAGCAGCTCGCAGCTCAGCTCCCACTCGCCTCCGTTCAGCAATTCCCGGCCCCCGATCAGCCAACAACGGCGAGTCCTCCGACGCCAACAAGTAAGGCTCTTCTTCTACTTGGGCTTCCTGTTTCTTTGCCTCCTAATTACGGCGCGAATTCATCTCTTCGCGGGGAAACAGCACACTTCTCCGAGCTCCCGGTCTGGGAGTCTCCGGGCTGTGATCCGATTCGAGTGTGGCATTTGTTGTACATTTCTTTCTTTTGTTCTCCGTTGGTTGGAAATGGCGGCTCGATTTTCTCCTGAATTGGGGGGAGAATTTGGGCTTTGCTGTGGCTTGCTTGCTTACTTTCTTAGATTCTTCTGTTAGCGCTGCTTTTCTTCCCGCTTTCGATGAAAAGATTTCCTAATACGGTGGTTTGAATCGCTTCACTTCCACTTTGTTTGTAGCTGAGCTTTGTGATGGTGGTTGTGGCTTCTAGAGCCCCCCGTGCTTGAAATTTAGCTTGTGGATACAAATGAAATTGAGAACTGGAAATGCCGACGCTGTTTCAAAGCTATGCTGGTTTCATTGGGTATAGAATTAGGTATAGAGTTCTGGTTATAATGATTCTCTATGCGTTCTCCAAGGGTGTTGGAGTTCATCTTCTATCAAGTGTGATGGTTTCTCTGTCACTATCCCTTCTTGTTGTGTACTTGCTATTGAGAACTGCATAAAACGAGCTGGCGATGCTTGTAGTTGTCCTTCCAAACATTTCCTGCTCTTCAGCAGTCCAGTCGATTTCTGAGCCTTAAATCGAAGTAGAAAAGGATCAGAAATCTGGCTGGAAAACCAACTTTGAAATGGTTTTTGTTTAAGTTGGATGCTTTGAGTTGAGCTTTGGTGCTTGGCTAGAATATTATCCTCTTGCTTGCAGGTTTATCGTGAAGTGAACTGTTTAAACCAACGGAAGCCCAAAGAGCTGAGGGAACTCTCTGGTCAATTTTTCTAATTGAACCCTGAATTCTATTGTTTGATCCACTATGCCGTCTTCATCCGCAGCCACAGTTTGCTCGACTATGTTGTCTTCATCCGTGGTGGTTGTCCCCCATCGTTCCTCCAACATTATGCCTTTTTCTCCTCTGAAGTCTCAAAAGAGGATGCCACTGATAAGGGCTATGAGTTCAGACACAGGACACGACCAGCCTCTTACATCTTCCAGTACTAAGAGCCCACTGTCAGTTGTTTTGGAGGTTCCCCAAACTCTGTGGAGGCAGACACTTAAACCTTTGAGTGATTTCGGGTTTGGAAGGAAGAGCATTTGGGAAGGTGGGGTGGGATTATTTCTTGTATCAGGTGCAGTGCTTCTCGCACTCAGTTTGGCTTGGTTGAGAGGGTTTCAGCTTCGCTCAAAATTCAGGAAATACCAGGCTGTATTAGAGTTTTCTCAGGCTTGTGGTATTTGCACCGGGACACCAGTTAGGATTAGAGGGGTGACTGTTGGCAACGTCGTTAAAGTCAACCCTTCCTTGAAGAGTATCGAAGCAGTAGTGGAGGTGTGTTGACTCAGAAGTGGCTTGCATGTTGATAAGATTTTACTTTTTTTATTTGCCTGATTGATTATGTTATATCCATTTGTGTTGCAGGTTGAAGATGATAAAATAATCATACCGAGGAATTCTCTGGTTGAGGTTAATCAGTCTGGTCTCCTAATGGAAACCATGATCGATATTACCCCTCGTGACCCTATTCCAACACCCTTAAAAGGACCTCTTGATTCGGACTGTGCCAAAGAAGGCCTTATAGTTTGTGATAGGCAGAGGTTAAAGGGACATCAAGGAGTAAGTTTGGATGCTCTGGTCGGGATATTCACTCGTCTTGGACGTGAGATGGAGGAAATCGGTGTTGCCAATACTTTTTCACTGGCTGAGCGTGTGGCTGCTGTTATTGAAGAGGCACAACCGCTGCTTGGAAAGGCATCAACTGCCCTTCTTATCTCTTTGATTTTTACATTTAAAAGCTTATCGCCTTCTTGGATGTAGTTAGAGTACTTAAATGTATAATAATACACACTTTCGTTCTGATGTAGTGATCTCTCAGATCCAAGCCATGGCAGAAGATGTCAAGCCTCTGTTGGCTGAGGTCCGTGAAACCGGCCTGGTGAAGGAAGTTGAGGTTTTAACTAGAAGCCTTACTCAAGCTTCTGACGATTTAAGGTGAATTAAGCTGACATTTATTCATCTTGCTAGTAAGAAGACATCCGAAGTGCATGTTTGGGGCCTAGTTTACTACTGGCGTAGAAACTCTTCCCCTGGTTGAATATGAAATGTGCTGCTAAACTGTTGCTCGTTTGACTGCTGATTAAAAAATGTGGAGTAGAATGCATATTGATATTCATTGTCATATACCAAATAAGCGTCAAGTGCCACTTTGATGACCTCCTACTGTAAGCTTACAAGCCTTTGAAACTTCTGTCTCTGCAGAAAGGCGCATACATCAGTTTTGACGCCTGAGAACACCGAGTTAATTCAAAGATCAATTTATAGCCTCATTTTCACTTTGAAGAACGTGGAGGTGAGCTTGGAAATCTGAATCCCTTTGGTACGAAATCACTGAGATTCACGTCTTTAATCTTCTGATCTTTGCTCTCGATTCCCCCTTGTCAACTCATCAGAACATAAGCTCAGATATTCTGGGATTCACTGGCGACGAGGCTACGAGGCGAAATTTGAAAGCACTTATCAAGTCCCTCAGCAGGTTGCTGTGAAGTCATAAAGTGCAAGTGTAAGAACTGCAGCTCCGTAGACGAGGCGAAAATGAGAGGAATGCAATCTGATTCCGGTCCCTGTAGGTTCTCTTTCTTTTGGTTTTTCTTGTTTGCGATGCTAGCTAGTGCTGAAGAGCTGTAACTACTTAGTTCATTTTTACTGGCAGTAGTTTTATCCAGTCATTGATGTTTTCCTTATTGACTCGCCTTGTTTCCCTTTGTTGCCAAGTCATGGATATTCTCCCCAAGTCCGAACAAATGGGCGTTCTCATCCCTACATTAACATCAGTACTAGTACTACGCCGTGTTGCCGACCCTATGATTTAGTGATCATTTTATCAATACAAATGTCTCTTTCAATAATTAGTGCATTAATTTAGGTTTATTCAGTTTCTTTTTCATTGTCATGGACTTGTTCAATGAATATCAAGTTGGAATAAGTCTGCTAGCATGGTACAAACTTTTCATAGTTACGTTCTTAAGTCTTCACGTCTAGACTTCTAATTAAATCGAAAGAATTGTTCATTCAAACTAAAGATCAGAAGTATGATATTAGTCTCAACATGAAACATGATTACTTGGGATCATCCAAGCCTTAGTGTTTAATTAACTATTCAAATACTTCTCTCTCCATTCCATTCATGTAAATGTAAGATATGGATCAACCTAAAAGGGAAACATGGGATGAAGTAGTAGTTGGTATTTTGTGTTTGCCACCAATTGATGTCTCTTCTTGGTCCCTTAGTTCTTCTAAGTATATCCTTCTCAATTTCTCTTTATGTCAATTTATTGACTTGCTTTGCTTCCCTATTTTCATTTGCTTCTCTTTGTCCTTTTTCAATTATACATTATCTTTTTTCATACTAGATTGCATTCTTGTCGATTCATTGCAAGAAAAAAGATTTTGTCTGTTGATCATAATCTTCAAAATTAAAAGTATCAAGTTGATCATAGCACACCGTAATGATATGAGACACTATATGATAACAAATTCACAATCTAAGTGCATAACCCTGTTATAAATTAACGGAGTAGGGAAAGCAACTTTGATTCTCCCAATAGGTAGATGATATGGGAAATATTGTGTAATTGCTCATAAAATGGGGCAGGTACATCGCTAGTGTTAGTGTTCCCAACATTTTTTGCTTGAACGATATGATATACCTTATGTAAATACTAGTGAATTTCCAAATTATGTTTTTTGTTTGTGGGTATACATGATTTTTAGTTGTTAAACACCCCTTAATCAATAACTACTAGAATTATTTTTGCTACCATGGGTACATACCGTGGTTAATAACATAATTTCCTCTCTGCTATGAATTTTATCTCAAACGTGGTCTCTACTATATGTTTTACGTCAAAATTACTTATTATTGTAACGTTTTTTTTTCTTCAAACTTACCCTTCTGTTAGTTTTTTCATCTAGAGCTAGTTTGGTCTTTCAGCTCTTCTGGTCTCTATAAATTAAATATGAAAAATGGACTAATCATATATAGTTACAAAGCTAAATTTTGTCCCTAATAGAGTTGTGTTGGGAATTCTTAAGTCACAACTTGCAATGTCGTCCTCCCACAATAAGTTGCTTAGGAAATTCATTAACAAAACCGATTGTTTTTGTTCATATATGGCCGTCCTGGATTCATAATTTTTTTATTCCCTTTCCTAACAAGGTAGTAATCATTTGAAGTTTATTTATTAATTTAATTTATTTATACTAGTAGAAGGATCATGATATATAAGAATCTTATTGGAAAAATATATAATGAATTAGACTAATTTTTCATCATAGAGAAAGAAGGAGGAGGAGAAGAAATGGAACAAAAAACTATATATATATATATAGCTTTCTCCATCCTAAGGTTTGTACTCTAGTCAGTTTCCCAATAATAAAACCTATCATCTACCACACAGAGAAAAAAAAACTTCAAATTATATGAATAGACAAGAGGATAGTTTATAGATAACCCAGCAAGAATTCCAACATTGATTACATCACTTTATATATATATTAAATGTTAATTGCTTATCAAATATACTTTCTCACTATATGTAAAGATGATTGAATCCTACAAATGCCATGATTGAATATGAATAAGAGATGAAGAGTATCAGAAGATTGAAAAACATAGTCAAACTGTCAAAGTTCGATAGGAATCCAATGAAATCATAATAATCGAAACTATCCAATGAAATCACTAGTACGTTGATCTGTAATTGACTAATTGGGTGTTAGGTTCGAGTTTCAGAACCTCAATCATATTACAATTCTATAATACCACATTAATAGAGTGTTAGTTTCGATTTTCAAAAGCCCTTTATTGATAATCTGATTAGTATGTATCAAAATAAAAACACATATACATCAAACTTAGAGCTGAAAAATAAAATGAAAATACGGTAAATTAACTAGCTAGTGGTAACTAAATGGATTTGATCTCATCTCAAATACATAACAATCGTCCCTAAGTCAAACATGTCGATAAAACATTAACTTTTTTACCCTGGAATCAAGGGTTAAAATCTCAAAAATACTCATTGATCACTACTATAATTTGCCATCCTAGTTTATTGTAATAGTAATTTGGTTTGATTATAAGTATTGAAATAACCTCAACAATATATAACATATCATTATCAAAACTAGTGGTGGCTAGATCAATTTTGATCCCCCCCTCTCCTCATTTACATAGCACCCCCACCATCTCTCATCATCTACCATAATTGTAATAATCCAGACTAATTAAAGTTAATCAAATCCCTAATCCTCCATAACACAAAGACATAGCTAGCTAGAGTCTAGAGAGAGAGAGAGAAACAACAACTCAAAGAAAGAAAGAAGGAAAGAAATGGACATACCTCTCTTCCCACCAAAAGATCACCACTCCTTCTTCCCTCCCCCCACCCAACCCCTCGACACCTCCACCACCAGCCGCGGCGGCGTCCCTGATTCCACCGCCGCCGCCGCCTCCACCGACAAATGGGCGGCGCCCCTCCTCCGCGAGTGCGCCCGCGCCATCGCCGACAAGGACACGGCCCGCATCCACCACCTCCTGTGGATGCTGAACGAGCTCTCCTCCCCGTACGGCGACTCCGACCAGAAGCTGGCCGCCTACTTCCTCCAGGCCCTCTTCTGCCGCGCCACCCGCTCCGGCCCGCGCTGCCACCGCACCCTCTCCTCCGTCGCCGACCGCAGCCACAGCTTCGACTCCGCCCGCAAGCACGTCCTCAAGTTCCAGGAGGTCAGCCCCTGGACCACCTTCGGACACGTGGCGGCCAACGGCGCCATCCTCGAGGCCCTCGACGGCGAATCCAGGATCCACATCATCGACCTCGGCAGCTCGCTCTGCACCCAGTGGCCCACCCTGCTGGAGTCCCTCGCCACGCGCCACGACGACACCCCGCACCTCACGCTCACCGTCGTCGTCCCCGCCGCGGCCGCCGCCGTCATGAAGGAGATCGGCCAGCGGATGGAGAAGTTTGCCCGGTTGATGGGTGTGCCCTTCGAGTTCCGCGCCGTCGCCGGCCGGCTCGCCGACCTCACGGGAGACCAGCTCGCCCTCGCGGTCAACGACGACTCGAAATTAGGTGTGTTACTTTTTTTTCCCGTATATCATACAACTTCGTTCACATATATGATTTATATTTTGATATATATCAACGAATCAGTTTGTTATTATTTATAAAATAAAAGAATTTTTTTACATAACCGGACTGAATGGTAAATCGGAAAATTTAATAGGTTATGGTTCAATTGTTGCGAACCGTTCATAGAATCAGCGTACCAGTTAAACGTGGTGGTTCATCTGGTTGCATGTCAAATTGTAAAAAAAACCATTCGGTCCATATTATAATCGTTCAATCAAATGAACCGAACCGCTATTGTAACTGGTTTAGTGGTTCTGCTGGCCCACCCGTCGATCCGGTTCGATTCTTATGACAATGCTAAACTAAGTAAATCGTAGGGTTTGAATTAGACTATTACGGACTAGTAGTGTTTTCTCATATATTAGAAGTTAGCGTATAATATCATCATGTTTCAAAACTTACTTTGTCTGTTGTGCCACGTGGATATCAGCGGGAGCGGCGGTGGCGGTGAACTGCGTGGGGGCGATGAGGAAGCTGCCGCGGGGATCGGACAGAACGGCGGCGATCGAGAAGTTCCGGTCCCTCTCCCCGAGGGTGGTGACGGTGGTGGAGGAGGAGGCGGACTTCGCCGCCGGCGAGGGGAACTTCGTGGGGTGCTTCGAGGAGTGCCTGCGTTACTACACGGTGTACTTCGACATGCTGGAGGAGAGCTTCGCGGCGACGAGCAACGAGCGGCTGATGCTGGAGCGTGAGAGCGGGAGGAACATGGTCAGGGTCCTGGCGTGCGACGACGACGGCGGCGACGGAGACGGCAATAACGACGCCGTTTCGGAGTGGGAGAGGAGGGAGAGGGGGAGGCAGTGGGCGGGAAGGATGAAGGAAGGCGGGTTCGCGCCGGTAGGGTTCAGCGATGACGTCATCGATGACGTCAAGGCGCTGCTGAAGAGGTATCGGACCGGGTGGGAGCTGGTGAATAATAATAACAATAATAACAATGGGAAGCAGGATCAAGGGCCGGGATTAGCGGGTGGAGGGGATAATAATCTGTTTCTTAATCATGGTTTTGATCATAATGAGGGTAATAATGATCATGGTAATGGTGGTGGTGGTGGTGATCAAACGCCTGGTCTTTTCTTGACCTGGAAGGATGAGCCCGTGGTTTGGGCTTCAGCTTGGAAACCCTAGAAAGAGAAAGATTACGGTACTACACACTTACACATTTTTCTTTCTTATGAGAGGAGGAATTTGTTTTAGATGGAGTTTGCAGGTCATTTTTGGTAAGCATACAGATTGATATCGATGGAGTAGATATATATATATATTGTAAGAATCCAACATGTATGGATCGGAGTAGGATATCAATGTATGTATAGCTGGAGGTCGTAAAATGAATCATGTGTGGAATCTTTTCTAGCTTTTTTTCGTGGTATTTTGTATTCTTTGATGTTTTGATGATGCTAAAGTTGTTTGGTTTACGGTGGGGGATCGAGCAACGAAAAAGAAAATCGTTATTTGTTATTTGACGAGCAATCATTTTACGAAACAAGAGAGTTATGTATTTTTGGAGATAAAAGAGATAAAACTCACTAGCAAATTTTGATACTTCGTAATATATATGACACATTTTAAGCATTATTTTGACTTGTTTCTATTGTTTTCTTGGTGATCATAATCTCTTTTATATAAAAATATATATAATCTTTCTTGTTTACATGTCAAGATGATGAGTATAAAATTGCCCTAGTTCCATCTCCATCTTGTCCCATCCAAATTTGATACCTCTCTTTCACCGTTTCTCGACTTCTCTCCCTTGGATTGGTTTGCTTACTATCTAGTGATCCATCGTCTAGTGTCTAGGATTTTCTCACCAAACCGTTCTTGTTATAGTTATATGGGTGTGTGCATGAAGCTCCGGTTTATGATTCATGCTTAATAGACTTAATTATCGATGAACACTAATCGATGTCAAGTCCGTGATTAATAGCTTTCAAAATTCAAAGAAATTGGTCTTTCGAAAAAAAAAAATGCACAGTACCCTTTGGAATTGATACTCAATTGTCATTGCACTATGGAGCCATGCAAGAAAATGACCACCTTAGAATGATCATTTGGTTGTTGATTGCTTCAAATGAACATAAGATGGAATCCAAAACTTGGCTTATTCCACACCAATGCTTCCAGAAGAAGACAATTAGCCTCCTAAGAGATGCCTCCAATATTCAATCACTGAAGCAATTAACTTCGTTTCCTATTATTTCGAGGAATCTCACTATCATCATCTAATCTAGGATGACAATTTCGACCTGACCCATTTTACCCGATCTGTTTGGCTTGTTTTGGGCGGGTCCGACACGCCCCCTAGGCGGGACGGGGCGAGCTTGGGTACTCTTATCGATCCGACCTGCCCTGACCCGCCCCATTCTCGACCCGTTCTTGTCTAAATTACATGTATTTTTAATTAAATTATTTAGGATTTTTCTCTTACTACATAATAATTTAGCTATAATAAAGTTGTAAATTAGTGAAAACCTCAATTTCTCTAATAATTTAACTACATTTATCATAATATTGTTTGTTTTCTTGGTCTTATAATAAAATTAATGAATATTTCTAATATTTTTCATATAAATTACATATCTATTGAGTCGACCTGCCCCGACCTGCGACCGTGATAAATTACCCGACCTACCACGAAGCGAATCTGGGTACCAAGAAATCCGACTAGACCTGCCCATTACCATTCCTAAATTCTAACCCATAGTTATGTCCTTCAAACATTAGTAGAAATTGTGTATCAACTTATTACTTACAACAACAACAACAAAAAAAAGGTATAAAATAATAATTGGGCCGATAGTGAATGATTCGCGATGATAAAGAATTGGGCTGATATTGATAATAATGGGCCTTCAAGTTTTTCGGCCCATCCAACACTGCTACTCATAACTCGTATTAGATTTCGTCATCACTGCTACCCTACTTCAAGAAAATTACAGGGACAACAACGGTATTAGCATATTAGGGAACTTTTACAATTAGAGATGACTTCAAGAAGAGTCGCAGGAGCAGCAGAAGCAGCAGAGCTCCTTTTTTTTTTTTTCATCTAACACCATTTTTACCAGCTGTATATTATTTTACCAGAGGTCGTCAGAAATATGATGGGAAACTGTACATAATAGCAGCAAGTCTGTCAAAGAACTCGAGAAAGAGGGGGAATTGATTTATGAGGTCCCCCGAGTTCATTGAGCGCCCGTAAGAAATCAATTTGGCGCTCAGGTGTATGTAAGAGCTCTATAGGTTAGGAAGTTTCGGGCTGATCTGACACTAATCGATGCATCGTCGTTACCTGGTCGACGAGATCTGGCCCTTCGTTCGTTCGTTGTAGCGTAGGGTTGGAGAAATAGGTAAGCCAGGCAGGGTGTATCATTGCCGCTTCTTGTGGTAAAGTGAGTACCCAACGAGGGCAGACATCAGGAACGTCCATAGAACCTGCAAACCAAGCAAAGAGGTACCTTACTTACAGATATGGATTCGAAATGTGTGCAGCTGATGATGAATGTGATTACCGTGTTAATTACGTGCCATCTTTCGAGCCTCTTGATTCTTGACTGCATGTCTTCAATAACGCTTTCAATTGGAGCTGTTGTGTCCCTATACGGGGAGGACCCTGAAGCTGTACTGGTGCAGCTTCCCTGTAAGGTCATAACCCATGGAGCTTAGTTAGTTGACAATTTTCGAAGGAAACAAAGTTACACCAACACGAGAAATGGAGGGGAACGACTTAATTGACCGGATTTACTCGATTAATGGAACTTCATGAACAGATAATAACACAGCACCTTATTACAAACCTGAGATTGTATGAATTCAACTAACTCCTGCAATCTTAATGCTTGGTGACTGTGGACACCATTGGAACTTTGATCTGCCGGAAGATTTTCTAAGACGATTTGGAGATAACTCTGCAAGTATAAAGCATGTAAGCAAAACAAGCTAAATGTAAGGTTACTGCCTAAACACGAAAGGGAAGTAGATTTGACAGACTAGTGGGAAAACCTTGGTTGTATATGAACCATCGAGTTTAAGGGTTGAGCCGGCAGCAGCAACCACTTCTTTGTTAACCCCTTTTATCTGTAGGTAAGGACTAGGAGCATCTTGTAGGTGATCGACCTCAATTAGAATCTGAAGAAACGAGTCCAGAAGGCAAGACATAAACAACCACCACATATCAAGACCAGGCAAGAAGAAATAAATGAACAAGTCCATAGAAGTGGGACCTTTCCATCTTGGTAAATAAATGCAGACGCTTCAATGTAAGCCACAGCTTGGTACCTGAAGCATACAAAGTATTTCAGTGACCAAAGGAAAACTTAAGCGAGAAAGTACACATAAGGAAAGCTATTTTTCAAGAATAGTATTAGTAAATGATAAAGAGTGCTCAGGGAAGCAGAAGTACTAGGTAATCTTCGAATATCATCCATTCCAATTGTGATGGAACCAAATAATGCCTACGACAATCATTGGTTCACAAGCACATAAACAGGAAAATACCCAAGGATGCCTAAGAATAACAAGAGCTTCCTTCAATAAGGAACAAATTAAGTTTGTAAGGAAACACGAACCAAGGCAATGAGGTAATCTCATGCTTACCCAAGATTGAGAAGGCCAGCAACAGTACTAATGCTAATATCAAAATCCACTTTGGGTTGAATGATGAAATTCCCTTCTCTAATTGGCTGTCACAAAAATCAATCAATTAAAACAAGAAATAAAGTAAATACTTCAGAAATCAGATCGACTTAGCTAGGAAAGACAGCTTGATATACAGAAGAACCCAGAATCAAGTCTAAAAGTCGCAACAAAATGACAAGCACACCTCTCTTATCAATAATGCAAATCTTCCTTCGCAAATTCTAACGCGTACACATTCGCCCTCAGTCAGCATTCCATTACTGGGAATTCCAGGAAGCCTTAAATACATGTCAATAAAATTCTGGATAGAACTGAAGACCTTTGCGGGATCGAGAATTTTCATAATATCTTGGTAGCTGACCTGTTTTGTTGCAAAGAGGAAACAAAAGTTAAGTGGAAATCCCAATGAACATATCTTAGACACCAGTCAGAGACTTACTTGCTTATTACTCTTTAGAACAAACAATGAGCTCTCAGGTGAAAGCACAGGATCAAAATCATTCCTTATTTTCAGCTGAAATAAGCACATGTGAGCTCACCATTTGAAATATCGGTAAACAGGAAAAAGTCAGGAGGACATGTTTTCTGTACACTGACATGTGCATGAACAAGATGAGGTTCGATATACTGCTGGAACATTGGGAACACTGCCATCATGATCTCATTTTGGGACATAAAACACCCAACCTTGCTTTTGTCTCTTTGAACTCGAGAGATGAGATGCGAATTGACACCCCCAATCTGGAAACCAAGAAACGTGAAATTCACATGAGCAATTGAAACTCCACATCGTGAACTCCCTGCAGGTATGAAGGTAGGGGAAAACAGATACATAGAATGAGCAACTAGTCAACTTACAACAGCAATCCACAAGTCCAATGACTTCCTAATCTCAGGATGCAATGCATAGACCCCTTCAAAGATGACCTGCCAAAGTGGAGCCTGTTAGAAATTATATAGGCCAAACTACAGGTCTAACCATTAGAATCAAAACTGGGGACCATTTGAAACTGGCAAAAATCATTTCATCAATCACTAGCTTCCACTTACGGTGTGGCACTAACAACAAATGCAGCATCGTCAACTTTCCACACAGTAAATTCAGCTAGCAAATAGCACAAGTCCAAACAATAAATGACAGCATACTCATGCGATGAAACATATAAATCTCAGGTGAAGAAACAATAAATGACAGCATACTGATTCAACTAAGTTTGATTTCCGGGCATACAAGATGGATACTTCATCAGATAAAATATACAGGAGATCAGGTCAGACTTCTAACAAGTAAGAATTAATATAAAACAGTAAATGCTCTCCAAAAAACTAAAGGATTAGAATGTTCATAAAATGAATTAAAGGACTACAGAAGGGACGAAAGATAAAAACAGAATCTTTTAGGGAAATGACAAACCACGCCACAATCTTCAGATACTTCAAGATCTTTGAATCCACTGCGGGCACCAGTCTCCAAATCAAATATAGGTACTGTTGTTTTTCGGCCGTTGCGTATGTCCTCAATGTTCTGGGAAGAGTTTAGCAACAATGAACAACCGAAACATGCACAAGCTTTAATTACACATTTTTGTGAAATATCCAAGCAAGCTAGTGAACATAATATCTTATGACTCATACCTTCAAAAGTAAAGGTAGATCAAGGGAGTTAAAATCATCATACTTAAAATCCTTCACATGTTCAGATATGAAATAGCTTTCAAGCGATACTACTTCACAACCGACAATATTTGCCATTTTATGAGCCAAACTAGTTTTCCCAGATCCACTAGGACCACCTACAGCGAGAATAATCAATAAAATGAGAAAAAGTAAAGATGAGAAATAACAAACTTTCCAGCACTCAAATCAGAAGAGAGGGTGAGAACAGATATGGGACCACAGAGAATTATCAAAAGTAGACAATAACATGAATGTATTACCAATTCCAACAATGACTGGGGTTCCCATGTTCTCCAACAAAGCCTGTAACAATGACAAATATTAAGTTCAGCTTATGTAATCACATGTTGTTTAAGCTTTTGTTCAATGTCTAATTATTGCATTATTTAACACTTTGTACCTGTATTGCTTGAACAGCAAGAAGCAATCCTCTGTCCAAGTCATAAGAGTCAGGCATTGGAGCAAGCTTCATCCTGTTCCTGAAAGAGGAGGAATCTGTGGTTGCTTCATGAGAGAAGTCTAAGCAAGCAGGCGGCAATTATGGTTCCATGTTTAGCTGTAACAGTTGAGCAAGTAGGGGACCTCTAGGAGGAAGACACAAAGAAAAATTAAGAGATTATGGATCAAGAAGAAGAAAGACTTACCTACTCCTGGCTGACTAGAATGAAGAGGATCATTTGATATGAAGTGCCATGTTGCTATTACAGGTTCCATTTGAGATTTGGTTGGGGACCTTGTCCATGACTGAGATAGATCCTCCAGATGGTTAACGAGGTTCGGAGTAGTACGGATTGGCTTGGGCGCAACAATTGTCCTTTCCTGCCTGCAAGTAGTAGCAGTGGCAGATAATGGTGGCGGAGTATTCAACCGCGGTACACCTGCAAGTTAAGCCAACTAGTTGGAGAGAACAATAACTTAATGTCTAAGTTGAGGACACAGACAGTATCTGTGAACATGGACCATAAGAAGATCAATCCACCTTTTCTCTCAAGAATCATTTCAAGATATGACTTAGTGATCCACGGTCCATTTACACCAATTCTCAGCACTTCTGCTCCAACAACCTACAGAGAAGCAGAGCGCAAAATCCATAACAAATTTGAACACTAATATTCTCAATGCAAGCACGAGGATCATCTGAGATTCCACTTAAAAGAAACAGAATATCACAAATCCATTGGACGGTGATGATGCCATGATGGAGATAGAATTATTGAATATTTCTTGTTGTTTATCTAAGGGGGTAATTTACCTGCACAAACTGACACACTTCCGAAGTTAGAGACTACACATTAGGTCTTGAGACCAATGGACTAAACACAGATTTCCTCAGGAGTCAGGACTCCATAGCACTTTCCTACATTAATGAAACTGACTCAATGTTAAACCAGAAGTGAATTGTTCATACTTTTCTATTTGTTCCTCGCAAGACAAAGAATGTCTCGCCAAGAGAATCAATAGTCTCCAGTGACATTGAAAGTGAGCCATTAGTAACAGATGCCGATGCCCGTTTATAACTGACAACAACATTGTACCCCAAATCCAGCAATCCACCAAGTGTCATTCGTCCAACCTGCATGAGGATATGAAATCAGTTATGTAAAAGGTCTAAAACCCAATGATACCTGAAGACAATATAAATGGAATTTACGATCGATGTTCAATAAAAGTATTTCATGGTAAGATAACATGAAACCATCAGAAACAATTTTCAGCAAGGGCAATTGGAAGAAAATATTAAACCATACCAAGCAATTTCCTCATATACACCTAAAAATGTGTGACATATCCAAGGTAAAACTAATGATTGAGTGGCATCGAAATCTAAGATAGATTTGCATATCATAAACCAGGGAGACTAACCTCAAACTCAGCTGTAGGCCGGATAATGAAGTTTTTGTCAACGATCCTTTGATCTCCAAGAGACAGATAGTATCTAATACCAGATTGTCGCACTTTAATCCAATCATTTACCCGGGCTTCTTCACTTGCTCCAGGAGGCCTAAGGTACATCTCTATGAAACTACAAGCCACAGAAATAGCAAACAGAGTAAGTTTGCAAGAGAATTAAGAGTTGTCAAATTAATCAACATCTGCAAGTAAGCAAGTGATTTGAATAAACACGTACTTGTCTATTTGTCTTTCAGCTCCTTGAAATGCATAAGAAGATCCACCAGATGACTGTGACAACAAATTAAGATTGCAAATCTTTGGTTGGTGAAGTAGCCAACTAGGTCATTAGCACAATAAACTAGAGCTAGATAAAATACTACAGATGCAATCTGTATTAGTGATGAAAACAACCTCACTTCTACACTTCAGCTTATAGATTGCTTCTCGAAATGATGAGACGAAACTGTTGTTTATCCGAATCTGCAGAGAACCAGAAACACAGTCAGAACATAAAACAAGTACAAGCAGAGCCGTGATCAAGTTTTAGGATACATAGGCACCAACCTGTGCATGATGAAGATCTGGTTCTATATGCTTTCTAAACATTGAGAAAATGCTGTCAATAAGGTAATCCAATGAGCAAGAATCTCCAATATCATAGCGAACCTTGGAAAGAAGACTAAAATGAACTCCACCAACCTGATAAAAAGGAAAGCTGATTCACGTTAACAAAACATTAAAAGGAATAACCCATCGAAACCCCTCTAAAGGTTCTGGCAGACTAGAGTAATACGTACCACAGCCACCCGGATATCCAGTAGAGACCGCAATCTTGCATGTAGAGCATAAGTACCATCAACTATTACCTAGAAACAATATGTTAGCCGACAAACTCATAACTTGTGCATCCCGTTCTTCCAGTTAATCAGTAGGAACTTACCACACCAGATGCAGTACTCTTTATAGCTTTTGAACCAACCCGCTTCTTTCGTTGATAATCAAACAAAGGTATGAAAGTGTCATTCCCCTGCGTCAAATCCTAATGTTCGACATGTAACAGAAGTTCAGCAAACAATGAAAACTCAAACCTGCATGAAAAAATACGGAATGATATGTAATAAAATTGTAGCACGCCATTACTAAAACCGAAGATAGAACGATAAAATGCACACCTCCAGGTTATGAACCAATGCATCAAAATCAATAGCATCCACACCATTCGCGTCGTCAATTTCATTCCGATAATTCTCCATTGATACAACAATACACCCAATGACAGATGCCACCTTCTCTGCTAAGCTTTAGCCACAACAAGCAAACAGAACAGAAAGAAAAACAATCACCAAGCATAAGACCACTTTTCTACGAACTACCGACTCTCGCCCGGAGAGAAATCGTAATTCAAACTAACCTCGACTTGCCGGAACCACTAGGACCGCCGATACCAACAGTAACTACACCGCCTTTCTTCTCCCGAAGTTCTTGAACCGATTTCACGAGCAAGTAATAACCATGATCAAAGGACTGAAACCAAACGAGAGATAATTCAAATGAACCAAACGTCAAACGAAATAGTCATCCCGCCTTCGAGATCCCGCAATTGACAGAGAAGAAGAAGCATACCACATGGAGAGGGAGGGATTGAAGGATGGAGGAAGAAGACGAAGACGAAGAAGTCGAAGGAGACTGTCTAAGAAACTCGCGGCCACCCTCCTGGAGCACTCGCTGAACCACCTCGTCGTCCATTTTCACGAGAGGAAAACTCCGCGGCGGGCGATCGCAGAGACTTCTTCTCCGGACGGTCACGCACAGTTTCGTGTCGAGCAACCCAGTTGAACAAAGCAACAAATGAAAACCGCTTTTCACTGTTTTCTTTTCTCGAGTCGATCAACAGAGGAGAAAATGATCCCGGAAAAGTTGCTGGTAGGGTCACTAAAGTTTAGGACTCGTTCTGATTGGGCCACCTAATTAGTAGATTCTTCTTCTTAGGTTCGACTATTTTCGCTCCAAGTCAAGTACATTTCTTTTCCCGCGGAATTTGTTCCCTCTTTTTCTTTTCCTTTTGAATTCAAGTTGAAGTATGTTATGTTCTATTGCAATGATTTTTAATTTGTCTTACTTTTTCTTTAGCAAATTTTAAAGTATTTAATTAATTTCTAAGCATAAAAGATATAATTAAGAGATTTTTGGAAATACAAATTACAAAGGATGAGTTGAGTTTGAGTAGGGAGCCATTAGGACGATAACTTTTCCTTTTTAAAATTATATTCTCATTAAGTTCCCTAGACCAGGGAGTCTCTCGGTATGATACACAAAATCGCATAATCATTATTTTGATTATCCAATTCATCTTGAAATAAATAACAAGACGTATAAATTTAAACAAAAATAATCTATGATTTGTGTTTTAAATATCTCTAGAATGACACATTTGGTCACTGAGATTACTAAATCGTGTCATATTTAGTCACTAGAAAAATTTAATATCAATTTTGGACACTTGAATTACCGAAACAGGTCACATTTGGTCACTTTTCTGTAGCCTCTGTCCAACTCCGGTCACTCAAATTATTGAAAAATGTCATATTTAGTCACTCGGATTACTGAAACATGTCACATTTAGTCACTATCCCAAAAGTTTCCGTCCAACTACATTAATGGAGTTGGACGGAAACTGACGGTAGAGTGACTAAATTTGACCAGTTTCGGTAATTCGAGTGACCAAAATTGATATTAATTTTTTCTAGTGACTAAACATGACACAATTTAATAATCTCAGTGACCAAATGTGTCATTTACCCTTTCCATATATCTTCACATCTCATTGATTAGGATTTAGGCGAGAGCAACCTGTACACGCTCAATTCAGACAAACCTTGCACGTAAAGCTATTATAAATGATGGCTTTACTGTACTCCACTGCCCTCAAGATATGAACTAAAATATCACCCTTCCCTATTCCTTTTTATCAAAGCTACACTGTTTCTGCTCTGCCCCCATCAAAATTGCACCTTTCCTTGTACAAAATTTACTCTCTTACAAAAGGGCATCTCACTCTTCTCTGTTTGTATGAACTTGGATGGGCGATGAAACTTGGACTGGAGCTTATGGGCCGAGAATGAGTCAGTGCAGTTGTGGGTTGGGCTTGATTGGAGCCCAAAGATCTGCTCCATTGCTACTAGCCACTCCAGCTGTGGAAGACACTGGAACAAGGCACAGTCCTCTGCTTCTCAGGCTGTATTCATCCAAACCCTGTTAAAAAAAGGAGGAAACCAGTGGTTGTGTTCATCGAACTGTAAATTTAAGCAAAAGTGGAGTCTCTTTCCTATGTTCGAGTGCAGAAGCGATTTGAAACAAACATGGTGCTAGTCATGCATTTCGACGTCAGAAACTTGATGTACAAACAATTACCATTTGCTGGAGGGGAAAATGGTTGGTCCAAGTCAAAAGACTGTGCTCCTATACTAGCATTCACAAGATTGGAGAGGTTTCGGGCTGGCTCGAGTTGATCGAAATTCAAGCACAAATGCGGTTACCTGGGTATAAGTTGGCGGTGTAGCTTGGAGATATGGAGCACTCAACACGTTAACTTGTTCGTGGAGGAAATGGATGTATTGCATTGCCTCCAAAAGCACTGATGCAGTGTCCGTCTGCATTGAGGAAGACGTGGGTGATATATAAGCTATCCTAGGAGTAAGTTGCAAAGAATCCATCCACACATGAAGAACATACAAAACCGGTTACCAGGGAATCAATAGTCATGTACCTTTCCATATGGTGAAACAAGCTGCTGCAGTATTACAATCCTTTCACCAAACTTCTCTTTCTGGTCCTGTATTAGTGATGTAGGAAGAGAAGACAAGCATTTTCAAAATCAAAGAGCATAAGCATTTCGAAAGAGATTACTATGTACTCATTTAAAGGGTACTTTTCAACACAGAAAACACTTGGTAGTTAATCCAAACATCATCTAAAATCACCTTTTTCATGTAGCATTTGACACCATCCATTCACCAGGTTGGGATATCCATTAGAAGTTAAAATGGGAGAAAGAAGGGGAAACCTTAATTGGAGGGCCAGCCTTGTGCCGTTTGGTTGATAGAGAAGTGATATTCCCTTGGTCAAGAAAGCAAGGACTTCGTTTGTTTTCCATCATCCTTTCTGTATACTTGTATGCCTTATTCCTTACCCTGCATAAATACGACGAAAGAGATCATCAATGGAACACGGGGTTGATGCAAAAGTAAACAAATTGCAGTAAGCTAGTTAACTAGTCATGGTCATGTCAGGTTAAAGCCATTTACATAAGCAAAGTGTGCAAGCAGAGCCTACTAGTTTCAACAAGTTATCCGCTTATTAGTGTAAGATCATTAATGCAAGCCAAGCGTACTGTACTCTTCTTCTTACTATCAAAGGAAAACAGCTCTTCTATTGATGCAAAGGATGAGAATGAACGACATTCCCTTCACAGCATGAAGGTCACTTTCAGAGGAAAGAATGGCTTACTTGCATATGTTGATTCCAAACCCAATATACACCACATTCTTCTTCACTACTTTCTAGTTTAGACAATAAATGTACTTCATACCATCTTCAAAATATAAAATAAGTCGTGATTCATCATGAAAAATATAGTATATAGTTACTACCCAATAATAATAAGAAAACCACTTTCATTTCTATTTTCATTATTACCATTACATGCAAACTTCCAAACAGGGTGGTACGAGTTAGGTAATCCATTGGAGTCGAGGAAATGAAGCATCATCCAACGCGGATAACAGGTGGTAGGAAAACTACTACTAATACACTACAGCCGTGTGGGAAAATGATGGTGACGTTCAAAAGGAAACAGACAATTGGTTGTTGACCAATCAATCCTATTGGGAATCGATTTTGATCTCACCAGAAACCAGCCAAGAAAGGAAAAGCAAGCAAGCAACCACCATGACCTACTAATTGCCAAATTGTCAGACCCATATGTCATAGTCATATAGTACACATATGCTTTTACTAAAGGCGTCCTATTCTGCTCAATGTTTGACAATAGCATTTACATATACAGCTGTAAGTGCATGAAACCTGCCTAATCAAATGATGGAAATAGGCAAAACAACTATGTTCACATATCTGAACACATCTATCATGGTATAGATTACACTACTGCTTCTGATCGTATGGGATGTAAACCGATAAAACGTGGTCGAACAGTAAAGTAGCTGGCTTTCGGGTCATTTCGATCCCGGTTTCTGAGTCCCAGCTATGAACGAAAAGTAGAGTAGGGAGAGAAAACTCACCGCAAAAGATCCCGCCGGGGAAGAACTGAAGAAGGTATCAGATGATCGGCCGCCGCTCGATTTCTGCCTCCAGTGAACAGTCACTACTTTAGCCGCCACGACCAAACGCGAAGCAGACTGACTCTACTTAACTTCCTCCTTCGTCAACTACTACTTCGACTAAATACTTCTTCAGCGGTTGGTGACTCGGAGCACTAAGCTTTCTCCGATGATGTCCGCCGGACGGAATTACAGAGCAGAAGAAAACGCGCGCGCGCGAAATTAAGAGACGGAAGGGGAAGGTTTCGAGGCGAAGCGGTGGGTTTTTGTGTATTTATGGAGAGAAGGGAAAGTGGAGAAATGGCGAAAGAATAAGCTGTTTTGTCTTTTCTTCAGTAGGGACTATTACTATTTGTATTTTGTTCTGTTTGAATTTGATTGATTTCATGGAAGAAAAAAGAAATGGGACTTTTGACAGCTAATTTCCAGCGGGAAGTGGATGTCTGGATGACGTATCTTTTGGAAGCATTTTTTCAGGGGTTGTTTTGTTTGGCATGGGGGCTATTTGGAAGTGGAAGTAGTTTATTCGAATTTTGCAGCCACGATACGTAATAGAGATTGACCCCAACATCTTTCTAAACTACAAACAGAAACAAGATTTTTCTCCATAGCGTTTTTTACAAGCCTTTTCGTGTTACTCTATGGAATGAATATAATGACTATCATTTCCCTCCCAAAAGAAAAAGAAACAACGGCCATAAACACGCTTGTAAAAAGAACAATTGATGTCAATCTATCATAGGGGCATCCCGTCCCGCCCTTCGTGGTCTATTTAGAGGATCGAGAATCGCGGTTAACCATAAGCACATTACTATTAGAGAAAAAAACATGGCAAGAACACGAGAGAGACACAACGTAGCGAGGAGAGAAGAACACTCGTGCCCTGCTCTACAATATGCTCGCAGGTAAGCCAACAAGTAGGTTGAAATTACATTTCTAATATACTAAAGGAGTGATGAGAACAATAAGCATCCTAATAAACCAACTCCACCAATTTCGATGGACGAAATAATGCAATATTTACTCAACTATCATGATGCTTATTCACAGTTACTACACTGGTTCTTTCTCCTGTTCTGGCAATTTCACATTACATGAGCTACTTCTCCAACATTCATACAATGCACCAAACACAAGGGAGAGCAATCCGGGTTCGTAAGTCATGGATTTTTGCTGATGTTAGCCTCATTCAAACTCAAGGTGTGAAAGTTATTTTCATCAGAAATTCCTACCAGAATGGATCGCTCGAGAGAGAGAGAGAGAGAGAGAGTATATGATATAAACAGCAATCACCTTTAATCAAAGAGCGAAAAGGCGCTCTCAACCTATAGATATACAAAAGGGGACAGAGAAAACAAAGAGTGAAGGAAGTCTTTCGAGATCCAACACCGAAAAACAGACACACACCACCTACTTTCCTCTTCAGGAAGACAAGGGTGCAGTGACATTTTTCTTTTCAGTTACAACATCCGAGCTACATGAACCATCCACAGTCAGAAAAAGACGGTGATGGAGTATGAAGCAGGAAAGCCCTTGTACAACATAGCACCCTCAGGCATTTAAAAAAAGAGAGTAAAAAAGCTTACTTACAATGCTTGGTGCAGAAAGGAGCATTGGGATGTGAGCGTCTATAAACCCAAAATCAGTTTCCTTCTTGTGTTACAGCAGGGGCAGCAGAGGACGAATGCATATCACTGGTATCAGAGTCTTTGCATGTGTTTGAGGCGATGTACGAACGAGCCACCGTCAACATAACATCCACCTCTTTCTTGTACTGCATGTCATCATCATAGTTGCGAATCAGAAAGATCATTTGCAACGTGTTCAAGATGTGAAGCAAACTAAGAATTCAACCACAGTTGTGGTAGGTAAAACTTGTAACGAAATAATGGACAAGAAGAGCAAGAGAGCTCAATCAAGATTGAACCCAACCTCGTTTACGGCTCCTGCTTTGATTTTGGACTGCATCGGGCACCATTTCTTGAAATGTGCTCCTGCGAGAAAACCCATATTTTAAGAATTAGAACCCATCATTCTCACAAAAGATAAAAGAATCATACGGTAGAAGCCACATCGCCAACGGTAAAAACGAGTCAAATGCTTTTGATTTATGCCCAGAGAAAAAGGTGGAAACCAAATCTCGGGCACATCAACAGAAGTAAATGGTGAAAGATCAAAATGCATTTAATTCATGCCAACAAATTAAGAGAAGAAACTGAATTTATGACAAATATACAAATAAGAAATACCTATACCTAATAATTGCATAATCATTGACCCAGGGATTGATATTCTTGGCACCTTTTTGAGATGGCAACGAACCAGACAAGGAGAAAAGGAAACCTACCCACTTTAATGTCAATTGTAGAAGAGCTTTCAGCATTGGTCTCAATTTTCCAGCAGCAATGAATCTGATGAAGAACAACCATAGTAACAAGTTACATACTTGCGTGAGAAATACATCAAGGAAGAAACTAAAATATATGTGAAAACACTCCTGTCAAGATCCACTGGACTGTGTCACTAAAGTCACCGGAAAGTAACACCTCATAGATGTATTACGGGAGCTAAAGGAGATGATGTTTGCTGAGTTGTGAACAAAGGGCTTCTGCTTTTCTTCCTCGACTTGTTACATTTTCAAACATGACCATCAAGGAAACCAAAGGACAAAGCCTATACTAGTGAATTTGATTCATCAAACGAGCTACCTATAGGGTATGTAATTAATCATATTTTTCATAGTGATTCAGCTACTTCTGAAGCCTATTCATGCAGCATGTACCTCAAAATAAGATCCGAAAGGTACATCATGTGCCTGTTGCACTGTATCAAATACCTGAAATAGAAACAACATATAAAACGTCAATAAAAAAATGAAGACAAAGAATGCTGCACAATGATCATAATACTATATATATTTCCCCCCAAGTGAACAGAAACAACAGCACTAGTAGAAAAAGCAGCTAGCAACGGACTAAAATTAGAGCAAGGAAATGAAGACGAACCAGGATTTTCTTGTCCGGTGATAAAACAAAATGCTGATACTCCGTCATGGCTGTATCTGGTGGGCACATAGGACTATTACATAAGGATCTGACTGTTAACTCTCTCACTTGACCATCATATTCATCAGCTGGATGCCATGGTCCAATCTACAGAGCATTCATCACAATAAGTTTCAATAAGTTGGTGAGTATAGCTCAATTGTTGTAGGGTCTAACAGGACAAAGACATAAAGCCATGAAAGCAGACAAAAAGAAAAATAATACTTGACCTACGATACTGTACAACAATAGCAGCAAAGTCTGCATACACAGAACAGAGAGAACAATAGTATAAAATGGATACACGGATAATTAAGTGTGAACCAAGATCATTGTAAAATATAGATAACCAGTGTTTATTCTTACCTTTAGTGTTCCAATTCACAACTAGATTTCTGAAAATACATCCAGATTTTGGTAACGGCATCCTATTTATCATGTTTAGACTTTAGACATCCTATCATTCCCTCATAATCCATTAAAGGCGTCAGGGTTCAAATGACAGACCAAGCAGACTAAAAAAAATAGAAAATGGCTGTAACACAGATGTCACTAATAGCAAACTGAGAGAAAAGGAATCTACGATATAGAAGTATGGGGAAAGATGTTCAACTTACAACTAAATTTGTA